CCTCCTCCTCCTCCTCCTCCTCCTCCTCCTCCTTCTCCTTCTTCTTCTTCTTCTTCTTCTTCTTCTTCTTCTTCTTCTTCAGGTTAGGGCTGTGTGGGAAAGAGTACATTCAGAGGATTATGTAGAAGATCCTGTCATATAAAAGTCTAAAACATTGAAAAGAATGTACATTATTTTGGATAGTAAGTAAATGGCAAATGGGTAATATCTTCAGTTGGAATGTGCACTGTCCTGTATCACATCCTAAACATAGGCAGACATATCCACCCTATACGCATACATTCAGACACTGTCACAGAGATACAACTCAACACACACACACACACACACACACACACGCACAGAGTGACTCCCCAGGAAAGCAGGCTAGATCGCACAAGCTCCCACAAGCTCCCACAAGCTCCCACAAGCACTTTACTTGATCTCAAACTCCAGGCCTGAAATTTATGCACAGTTTTTGAGAGCAAAGGAGAGTTATTACACTAGATAGTCCCCAAAGCACTGAGCTAAATCACTGATCCTTCCTCACACAGTTAACACCTGAATATTCAAATCATTTCATGTGTTAAGTAAGATTTTCATTATTCCACATCTGAAAGTCTATACAGTTCAAATTTCCTGAAATCAATTTAATATTATGAGGTAAAAGGAATGTCCTGGGATAGGATGAGGCAGTGATGAGGTGGAGACAACATTTCATAAACCAGCATAAGGAGACTTCTAAACTTCTCCTATAGATAATGCCTATGCCATCAGTAAAGTGAGAGAGAGCCATACTCCACCAGCCCCTCCTCCATGAGGAGACTGTAACCCTGCGCTCTAGCATTCCCTAAATCAGCAGCATCTGGAACTTTTGAAATATTTACTAACAAACAAAACCTTCTGACTTGTCACTTTCCATAGAGGTACGTCCTGGACAGACTTACAACATAAAACAGATAAAACGCCTCAAGGTGAGTAACACCTCTTTCTGGAGGAATGCCCCATGCCTGCCCGTCAGTTCATGTCCACATTGGCAAGGATAGTTTTCTTTTGGGTGGTGGATAAGTGTATATGATATATTTGATGCCAATTCTAACTGTATGGAAGTTCACACTGGGTTGTATAGACTTTAGGTCTGGTTAATTTTGGTGTGTGATGTTTATTTGCAAGGTCCTGTGTTAAATATTATCCAGCAAATTAGGACAGCTTAAGTCACGTGGCACAAATACCACCTGTAGATTCTGGTTTGCCAAAGTGCCTTACCCATGATTCTCTCTTACAGCTGACTCCGCTGACAATAGACCTCTATGACATAAAAGATAAACTTACATTCGAAGGTGTGACCGTCTCCACCGTTTCCATTTTACCAGGTTGGATGCAATCTAATTCCTATTCCTTAATAATGTCTTCACTCTTTTTCAATATGGTATTTTATTTAATTCTTTGAGGATTTTACATAATGCATTTTGATCATATTCACACATACCCCACTCTTTCACCTAATTAACATAAGACATCTTTCCTAGATGTTTTTCTCACTTCCCCACACTCTTCAAATTCATGTCTTTTTTTTTTAAAAATGACCAACCAAGTTCGATTTGTGCTGTCTATGTACTGTGGGATGTGGATTTATTCACTAGAGTATGGTTGACCTAACAGGGGCCATACCCTTAAAGAAAACTGACTCTCCCTTCTCACAAAAGCCATCTACTGTCAACAGCTACTCACAAAGGGGTGGGAGCTCATGAGTCCCTACTCACTCCATGCTAGAATGCTGACAAGCTTGATCCTAATCAGGTCTTATGTAGGCAAAGCCAATACCGGTGAGTTCGTGAGTTGAACACTCCTGTCATGTCCGGAAAACACTATTTTGCTCTGGTCCTCCTTTTCTTCTGCTTCTTACAATCTCTCTATCCCCTCTTCTGCAATGGTACTTGAGGAGGAAGGTGCACGACATACATGTTCAATGTCTAGCTGAGCATTCCATAGACACTTACTTTCTGCAGTCTAACCAGTTGGGAGCTTCTGTATTAGCCACCACTCACTGCACAACAAAACTTCTCTGATAATGTCTGAGAGTTATCTCCGGGTAGAGAGAGAATGAATTTAGAGGTCACTTTGTACTATATTTATTTAGCAAACTCCATGGGTTCCTCTTAGGGCCTGTGCAACCCCAGGTCTTAGTCAGATTTACAGTACCAGGCCTGCATGTCTTCAATCACAGCATTCTAATAATTAGAGTATGATAATGAGGATCAACACAAGTGTGCTAAATTATTGGCCTGAAGAGCAGTTTCACTAGCTCTCTAGTCCATAGCCCAAACCGCTGAAATGCATTCATGTCTTCTTTCATTTCTGAAATCCAGGTGATCCCCTTGTCAGGCAATCTCCCAGTCTGTTGGTTCTTTCATCCTGACCCTCACTTTCCAAGCAGAAAGAAACTACCAGCTGGCCTCTGCTCTGTAAATGGAGCATGCACGCCTCTGGCTGGAAGTCACAGGGCTTTCACTGTGGACCCCTCCCATTCTGATCTACTCCAGGACATAGCTACACCGGGGAACTGTCTTCCCCACAGACCCAACCCAGAGGAACCTTCAGAGACAGCTGACTATGAACTGGGAGTTTCTATAGTTGGAGGTTCCAGTCTAGTGTAGAGAGCTAAAGGAGCTGAGAGTTAGTGGCCAGTGAGGACACAGTTAAGGACTGAATGAAAAGAAGAGATTCAGTTTTATTATTATATCATTTAAACAGCATTTCCATTTGGGTATGTTTGGCATGCCTATAATTGCAGAGCTCTGTAGGATCATTAGACCAAGACTTTTCTAGGGTGCATGAAGAGATCTTGTCTCAAAACCAAAACCAAATGAAAAAACAAAAGAAATAAAGGGAGTATAAAGAAACTGCTCAATGGTTAAGGGTATCTGCTGTTGTTCCAGAGGAGTTCAGTTCCTAGCACCCACATTGGGTGGCTCACTATTATCTGTCACTCCAGTTCCAGAGGATCTGACACAGTACTCTTGCCTCCCCAGACACACCCACACATGTATCACACATACACAGAAACATGTACACATAAATAAAAATATAAGTGTAAAATAAAAGGCAATAAGTTGTTTCCAAGCTCAGAAACAATGTTCTTTCAGTTCTATATAGACTCCCTCATGCATGAATCAGGAAGTTGAATGAAAGGTAGCTTATGATTAGTGACCAATGACACAGCTTGATATTAGCAGAAATGGTGCAGGCGCCACCTTGCCCAATTCCACATGAGTCTTCTCACCAGCATTCCATGTGATACCACACCTGGCGTCACATTCTCTGATAGAGATCAGTGTGTCTCCTTCTTTCTTTTCTGTCCCCTGCATTCATCTGTACACACCATCATGGCACAGTACTGTCTCCTCCCTTCTATTCACTCTTTTATCTACTGTCCATGTATGCACCACAAGCTTATGTGTGGGGCCTCGTATTTCATAGATGACCTGCCTTTCATAGAACCTGTGGGTTCTGCCAGTGCTTTTCTTCCCCAAGTCTTCTTTATTCCACACTCCTAATTAAATGCACATCTCTTTTGCTTGCATAAATGGCAGTCTATGAAGAACATAAAGGCAAATATTTAGTCCCAGAAACATGGTGTACTTAGGACATTCCTTTCCCATTTAAACACCTGTGTTCTTTTTTATTTGGCTACAATAATGAAATACTTTGTCAGGTGCAATTAGCATGTTATGAAAATCCATAAAAAAAAACCTGCAAAAGATTGGGCCCTTCAACATTCTGTTATGGAAGGAGGGGCTCACCAGGTTCTGCCCCTCTCAGAGGATATAAAGGTAGCTAACAGTTGCCAGGAGAAAAGACCAACCAGTGAGGCCCAGTGCCCATGTAAGGAATCCTAATTAAACTCCTTGAGCCCCACCAGTACCAACCGACATGGAATAAAAGGGGCTCTAGTGGTGGGGAGGAATCGGCGTGAGTCAAAAGAGGCTAATGAGGAGTGTGCATGATCAAAACACAGTCTACATGCATATGAAAATGTCACATGGAAAGGTAACAACATGTACAAATAACAGATGCCGGTACAACCTTAGAAAAAAAGAGACGATACTTAACCTCGAAGACAATGTAGAAATGCTACTGATGGCCTGTACAAGTGCTTTAGTGTTTAAAAAGTGATGAATAAGAAGGCAGCAAGGGAAGAAATAACCCCACATGAGTTCAGGAAGGGCCCAGAGACACCGGCACACCCAAGAGAAAGCACAGACAGAGGGTGGGGACAGACAGAAGGGTAGCATTAGATGGGAGGAAATCATGGAAGAAGCAATACTTTGGCAATTTCCCTGGCATGTTCTGGGTGTGTGGCATGGGCCCTGAAAAGTCCCAGGCCTTGCTGGGTGAGGAGGTCACCCAGCACCAGCTCAGATGTTGGAATGGGTCTTCATAATCACAATTTGACTTGTCCTTCTGAAAGCAATATGACACTGGACAAGTCTTCTACATACTCTGGGGTTCACGTCTTAAACCCACACAATAGAAAGGAATGCCGACTGGGTCCTCTTTCTAATGAAGGATAACATAGGAAATCTATAGCAGATGATGGGGGAGGGGAGCAAACAGTACACTGGATGGTATAACCTGAAGTGGCCGTGGTCTGTACTGCTGTATGGCTAACATCTCAGTTTTTGTGAGCCAGCAGATGTAAAAAACAGACAATGGAGAAGGCCCATGGTCTCATGGGGGGAACAAGCCCTGTTCTTTTCTGACAAAACAAAGCCCTAAACTACCTAGCTCTCATGCACTAATCCCTCCCTATTTCAGGAGGCGGATTTCGGATAAATCCCTGGCGCCACCGGTTGCGAGAAAGGAAGAATCGAGTGATATATGAAGAGATCAGTGATCCCGAAGAAAGCGAAGATGATGATTAAATCTGTAAGTGGTCCTTTGACACATCTCCTAAGCCCCAGAACACATCCTTTTCTCGTATGTGAGTGGATCAGTCATCTCCTTCTAGTCCTTAGGGGTGGAACACTGAAGCTGAAGTAATATGTCATGCTTCCTTCACTGCAAAGCTGGGTGGTTTGCAGACCTTCCCTACCTGGGATGCTGTGGGCTCCCAAATCCCAGGTCAGCTCTGAAGGTACAGGCCATGCCTTCCTCTGGCTTAGGAATTCAAAGACAAGGTGAGGTAGTCCCTGTGCTCTGAGCAGAGGGTTTGCCTGTAGAGCAGAGGCTCTGAGGTTCGGGAAAGCGTCGTAGACTTTGAAGGACGGGAGGAAACAGACCAGTGAGTCGGCAATGTGAACTCACTAGCATTTCTTTTCTTTCTTGTCTCCACCACAGAGAGTCGAAATAAGCCCAGGATGAGAAGAAGTATGGTGGGAATCCTGGATCAAAGTCATGACTTTGAAAGACTACGTATCAGTTCTATATATAGATATATGTATATATTTATTAAAATTCATTATAATTTTAGGGTTAAGCATCTGCTTTTATATTATTTGTCAAGTGTTCTCTTAGTAATTTTGTGGGATGTGTCAAACACTCTGTCAGGACTTTATGCCAAGCATTCCCTATGTATGACTGTCACTGTTCTAAGCCCAGCAGAATTGTTTGTTCTTCCTTTGCCAGGCAATCTTTAAGCATAGATCTCACTGCATGGCATCTGGTCAGTACTGGGGATATTACATGCTAAGCACTCTGTTAGTATTATTCTTACTGTGAAAAACCCACTCTCGTAGAATATCAATGTTTCAAGTAGCCTAGATGGCTCAGTGGTAAAGGATCCTGCTGCCAGGCCTGATGACGCGAGTTCAATCCTAAAGACGTCCATGGTGGACAGAGAGAACTGACTCCCTGACATTGTCTTTTGAAACTCACAACTGAACACACACACACACACACACACACACACAAAATGAAAATAAATCTATCCATATTCCATTCAGCGAGGCATATTCTTAATGTATACTGCTGTTTGTCTACCCTGTACCTGTCTTAGGAATCATGTGCTACCTGTCATCCTCTGCACTGAAGCACACTGCCCTTCCCTTGCCCAGGACTACTGAGCAGAGTTCTGTTGGTTTATTTTAACAATTTCTCTGTGCTTGCACACACATAATACATGTCATCACTATGATCATGTCATCTGCCATGCTCCACTAGAAATGTGTCTAGTCACAACCATCTTATTTCATTTTCTGGTCAGCACACACTTTCTCCCCTGTCTGCACACAGGTTACAAATCCAAATTCTGTGATGTAGGAGAATCTGGATTCTTGACAACACATGTGACCTTCATTTACCTAAGAGCCCGAGGCTCAGTGTAGACCATATACTCTAATCTTACCTTTTTGGAAGTTGTAATATCTGATTCTAGGGATTGAACCCTGGTCCTTCTGCATGCAAGGCAAGTGCTCTACCACTGAGCTACATTGGACTAGTAGTTACTGCCTGAGAAAAATAAAGGAAGAAAGGTTCCTTTGGGCCTAGAGTTTCAGCGGGTTCAGTTGATGGATACTTTTCCCATACATGCAGCATGTAGGAGAGGCTGGTCCTGCCTTTTGACTGACTAACATACCCAATAGGACCAGGGCTCAAGGTGTTACTCTAGAAAAAAATAAGACACACTGAGAGAGATTTAGAATTTATATGAACATGAATAGATGATGAAGTAGCCATTTAACCAAAATCTAAGGAAGGTGGTTCAACAAGTGTGAGACTAGAGGCTAAAGCATTATTAACAGATGCCAAGTACAAGGTCAGGACAGGCCTGAATGGCATCAAAGGCAGAAGATGTAGGGTAAAAGGGCCAGCCAAAGAAACCCACCCTGGCCCTGAAACCAGAGCCAGTAACAGAAATACACCATGGCCCTGAAACTAGAGCCAAACAACTAAAAAGGGCCAGTGAAAGAAAGACACTTTGGCCCTGAAAAGCCAGCTCTGCCCCCGACCAACTAAACCAACCAATCCCTGAGCAGCACATCTTCCCCCTGGAAAAACTCGACCCCTAAGAAGTCATACATAAGCCCCTTTGCCTGTCCTTCTCCATCCTGGCAGAGGCAGCCACTCTCCTGGATTCCTTCTTCCCAAATAAATCCCTTTCTTAAAAGAGTTTTGGGTGATCTTTTGCCGGCAAGGAGAGTCTCTGCTGGGAAGCTCCCTTGTGGGGGGCAGAGCAGAGCTCAGCTGTGACAGCTCTCTCTCGGAAAGGATCATCCCTACCATGTCCCAGCTTTAGGTATAGTCTGACTTTCTGGCAAGCCAGGATACCTTTCCCTCCAGAGCTGTGACACTTGCAGGTATAGCCTGACTTCCCAACAAGTCAGGATACCTTTCCCTCCAGAAGAGTTTAGAGAATAAGGGATTTAAGGCTCAGATCTGAAGAACACAGATGGTACAAATGAGATCTAGGGCTCTGGAGCGATGTAGACAAGGGACACGTAATCTGTATGTGCTGGAGTCAGGTCTAGACTTCACTAATATTGCATGGCAGATACTATGAGGTAAGTGGTGCCATACATCCATCTCATACACCAATCACACTTAGGAGCCTAATGCCCAGTGTAGCTCTCCTAGGGGCGAGAGAGGTAACGTGGGTCCCATGGCTATGGCTTTGATGAACTGAACTGGTGGCCTGGTGGAGAGAGGTAAGAGACCAGAGATCTCTGACTCAGCACTATGTAAGGATGCAGAGAGGAGTCAGAGGTGTTGATAAATGATCATGTTCAACAAAACAAGCTGAGTGCAGAAAGACAGATGCTTCAAGTCTCATTTCAATGAGTAACCACATTTAAATTTGTGTTCTTGTGTAATTTTGTGTGTAGGACATGGAATTAGAAAGGGTCCCATAAAATGGTAGGCTCAGTCCTTAGAGAGGTAAAAAGAGTGACTCTATACAGGGACAACTGGGGAGAAAGAAGGAGACCTACGAGATGAGGACAGATGGTGGGACAGGTGACTTTGGCACTTTGATTCAAAACCAAGAACATGGAGACATGTCATTAGGAAACCCATCACTTTGTATGCTGCCCTAAAACATTGAGTCAATAGAGTCCTGAGGGTGAAATGTAAAGAGAAAACGGTCTACGTCTGGAGCAGAATTAGTGGTCTTCTGGTGGAGAAAAAAAATCTCATATTTAGAGGAAACTGGGATCCATGAAAACGGAAGTTAGAAACTAGCCGTTCTTGTCACTCTCCAGCAGTGCCCTTAGCCTGTCATCTGTCTCACTAACACCCATTGTATGGCCATCAGAACAATCATGCATGGCAAGCAGAAACTGAAGAGCACTCCCAAGGCAAGAATAGTGGCAGACTGATGCCTCCAGCTGCAGTAGCATGCTCAGAGGTCTCTGGAATGGACCTTGTGTTCTAGGTCTCTGAAAATGCGGTCTAAGCCATTTCGTATTGCATTCATGCAGAATAGAAGAATAATAACAATGGCTCAATTGATTTATGGATATTTAAGTATTCTTCATATGCACCTATAGGGATTAAAACGTATATGATTTGCCTTCAACATATTAGGCACACCCAAATAGTAACTATTTATGAAAATATCAAATACACAATGAATACAACTTAAATGATCCAAGTGCCAATGGAGACATTTGGAAGTTCTGTATCTAAGTTATTCAGAATTCAATCTGTGTTTGCATCTGGATTTTGCTTCCTGGAGGATACTCAGCAGGTACAAATTCACCTGGAAAGGACACTGAATCTGGTGTGGGTGCCACCCTTCCAGGGTACTATGCTTGCTAGGTTGGCTGGCATGGGCTGCTCTTGTAATGACCAAATTCACCCAGCTTCTTGAACAAGTCATTTCTACCAGAGCTTTAGGCCCCAATGCTGAGCCATCATCTACAGTTTATGGCTCCAGGTACTGAAGAAACTGTTGGTTCAAGGAAATGAAAAGCAGAGTTACTGCATGCTGCATTGTTTTAACTGTAGATCCTGGTAAACTGGGATCTTCATTCAGCTCATCTGGCTACCCTTCAGAGGCTCTGCCCAGATGTCTTCACCTCCACTCTCATTTTTAGTGTGTCTGGAGCAGCCCTTTCCCCTGGAAACTCTTCTGACAATGGAGAATCTCATTCCAAGTCACCAATTTTACCCAGCTTGATGAGCATAGTTTTAGGAAGAAACCTGTAGATGAACAATGCCAAGTTTATTGCCTCTTGGAATGAGAGAAACTAAACATAATGAGTACAATGGAATGTTTCAAGAAAGAAAGGAAAAGATAGAGCTATATTACATGATTTTTTTGGTTTTTCAAGACAGGGTTTCTCTGTGTAGCTTTGCGCCTTTACTGGAACTCGCTTTGGAGACCAGGCTGGCCTCAAACTTAGAGATTGGCCTGCCTCTGCCTCCCGAGTGCTGGGATTAAAGGCGTGCGCCACCACCGCCCGGCACATGATTTATTAAAAGGTGAAATTTAAATGTTCCCTGTTCTGCTATATCAGCCTACATAGTTCAGCTTGCATAAATCTATACATTGGCGGAGTACATCTGTGGATGTACCTACTTCCAAAGCAGAACTCTTGAAGCTCTGCATTATGGCTTCTGTCTTCTGGATAATTCTTTTAGCGAGGAGCTATTTGTGCATTTTAGCAGGTTTAGCAGCATCTCTGAATGCTGTCCATCCCAATTGTGGCAAGAAAGCCGAAATATCAAGAGGAAATGTGGTAGCAATAAACATGACTGGGATCAAAACTCTATAATCAAGAAAAGCTCCCGATGGATGGTTTCTGTGTTCACTTTTGTGTATTCTAGCACATTAAAATGTCAAGTTTGGGTATAAGGTCAAATTTCCTTTAAGTATTTAAGTTTATGCCCATAAGTTAGTGCTGCTGTCAGAACTGGCCAGAGAAGTGTCTGGTAGCAGGTACTCCAGGGATTCTTACCTGGCCAAAGTGTTGAGAACATGTGATTGTTAATCCAAGCCTTAAATGAGACATGCATATCATCCGCTCCATGGGTCAGGGGACTCCATAGAAGAAAGTGAAGGAAGAATCTAAGAGGTAGAAGAAAGGGTGGAGGGGTGTGGACTTTAGTCTCTAGGACATGGCACAGCCTTTGCATACCTGCAGAAGACTGGGCCCTCACCATTCTGTCAAGGAGAGAGTAGACAGCTCATGAGCCTCTCTCCCATTCCTGACGAATGGTAGAGGGTTACGTTTGCTAGGGAGACAGGCTCGTGAAATTTCGCCCCTCCCTAAGGATCTATAGGTAGTTCAAGCTTTCAGAGGGTGAGAAAAATTTACTTCGGTGATGTAGCCACTAGTAAGGTGGCCATGATTCTAACCCCTAATGTGGTGATAAGTTGTGTACCCTAATAAAATTTGCCTGAAGATCAGAGAACAGAACAAGTCACTAGATTAAACATAGAGGTCAGGCAGTGGTGGCATACACCTTTAATTCTAGCACCCGGGAGGCAGAGATCCGTCTGGATCTCTGTGAGTTCAAAGCCACCCTGGACTACATGAGATTGACTCAGTCTAGGAGGGAAATGGAGCCAGGCAGTGGTGGTACACATCTTTAATCTGCACACTTGGGAATTACGTGCCTTTAATCTCGGCACTTGAGATCTCATGCCTTTGCTTGGGAAGCACACATGCCACTAATCCCAGCACTGGGAAGGAAGTGATGGCTGGGCAGAGAAAGGTATATAAGGAATGAGGAGACAGGAACTGAAGCTTTTCAGGCTGAGGAGTCCTAGAAGTAAGAGGTGGCAGTGACTTGTTCCTTTGTCTCTCTGATCTTTAAGCATTTACCCCAATAGCTGGCTCTGGATTTTTTTTTAATTAAAAGACCTATTAGAATTTCATGTTACATCCTAATACATGTCACTATAGGAAACAAATGAAAAATAGGTGTTGACCAAAAGAGTCCTGAAGATAGAAGAGAAGGTACCTGGGGATTGGCTGATTTCTACCTGGGTACTGGGATCAGGAGTAGTGGTAGGGAGAAAAAAACAGGTTACTTGGAGGTGATGGTGATAAAAATACATGGCTGGGTGACAATCTGTTAAATAACTCCTCCACACATGCTCCTCTAGGTAACCTTAACTGAAGTTACAGGTTGAAAAAAGCAAACAAATAATCAAACAAACAATCCCATGAAAATGGAAGGAAGACTGGTTGAGAAAAATACTGAGATCAGGAGGAATGGGAGGAGGACACAACTTGGCGATGGGACATAGTCATGAACAAAACATATACACATGTGTTAAATGTCTCAATGAAACATGTTAAAACAACAGCAACATACCTCCTTCCTAGTGTCAGAATCCTGGGTTTGTGACTCACTTCTTAGCATGGGCCAGCTCCTGGGACAGATCCCTAGAACTGCAAAAAATAACACTAAAGTCAAAAATGATGATGACCAGTGGATGAAGAGATGGTTCTGTGGTTAAGGGTACATACTGCTCCTACCAAATCCCAGATTTGGTTCCCAGAAGCCACATGGCAGCTCACCCAGTATTTAACTCCACTTCTAGGGTTGTGGTTCCCTCTACTAGCCTCCACAGGCACTGCACACACATTGTGCATATACACACAGGCAGGCAAATCATTCATAGAGATAAAATAAAAGCAAATGAATCTTTTTTTTTTTTAAAAAAAGGGACATGATCATCTGCATAGGAAATGGGACAATTCATTAAGATCTCCTGTGCATGTGCTCCTGATCCCCTTGAATAACAGAACTCAAACTTGTGCTGTTAACCCCAACCAGCCCTGCCTGTGCCCCCACTGGGCCCCTTTATTCCCCATATAGAGTCAAAGCCTATACAGTCAAGCTGTGAACTCCATCTACCCCTACTCACTGGACCCATCTCCTCAGCACACCTGGTCCCTTCTCTAGGCAGAGACATTCATCATGTTGCCAAATCCCCTCATCCCTGCAACCCTTCCAGAGAAGGGCACTGGACCCATATCTACAACTTCACTGACTCTAACTACTTACTGTAGGATTTCATGTCCCATGTCTGCCCCTCTTCTTTACGTAGAGATCTTAGTCCATCACCATCTCCACTAGAACCCTTTGCCAGAGGAAAGTCCTGAGCACCTCTCCCAGATTCCTGAAGACTGCCTGAGGGAATCTTCTAACTTGAGCACCATCAACCTTACTTAGTCTGGGCTGAGCCAAAACTGCTTCTGATAGCCCAGCTGAACATCAACATTAAGTTGCCCAAAGACTGAATCCTAAATCCCATACAGCTGATCTATCATTTGCCAAAAAAGAAAGCTTCAACAGAGGAAACAGGATCTCCATACCAAGAAACAATACCAATGACCTAATTCTAGATACTTAGGTCTAGATGAATAGGCAAAACAGTCTTGGACAAAAATTAGTACTCCAACATTAATGTTACCCAAGAACCGTGACTTGGATGATGTATAATGATTTCAAAATAGCAGTAATAATCATGATTAAGGAACTCAAAAGGATATGAATAAATTCCATAATAAAGACTGTCTAAACACAATTGAAAGAAATAATGAAACAGTTCAAGATATGAAAATAAAAATCAATAGAGACTCTCTGAAGAAAAATGAAATAAGATGTGAAAAGAAAATTTCAGTAATTCAAACATAAATTCAGAGGAAATCCCCACCAATAGATTGGATCAGGTAGAAGAGAGAATATTGAGTCTTGAAGATAAGGTAGAGGATCTGGAACATTCAAAGAAAATGTCAAATCCAAAATAAAGAAACTCAAGAATGAAACATGCAGGAACTCTGGAACACTATAAAAAGAACAACTCTATGAATAATAGGTAGAGAAGAAGATGAGACCCAGGTCAAAGGCACAGAAAATATTTTCAATAACGTCATAAAAAGATAAACTAAGGAAAAGAGGGGCCTATCAATGTCCAAGACATAGTCAGAATACCAGAAAAGAAAGTCTGTGGTTTCTGCTCACATCATATAACAGTTAAAACACTGAATATACAGAACAAAGAAAGGATATTGAAAACTGCAAGAGGCAAATATCAAGTCACATACAAATGCAGGCCTATCATAATAAGAGCTGATTTTTCAATACAGGTCATGAAATCCAGAAGGGATTAGACCACTGTTACACGTTTGGAAAGACCACCGACATCAGCCCATACTACTATATTCAGGAAAACTCATGTATAATTAAAGAAGAAAGTAAAACTTCCCTTCATAAAAACAGATAAAGGAATTTATGATCATTAAGTCCACTCCATGGAAGATGATGAAGGGAATACTCAGGTCTGAAGAGAAGGTTTCACATGCCCAAGAAAGCATAAAGAACAAATAAATAGATGCAGAAAATTGGATCAAAAGAGGTTGACTGAAACACCACAAAGCAAGAAAATGATAAGAATACACATTATTTAATAATAATTCTTAATATTAGTGGTCTTGAATCCCCAGTAAAGAGTCACAGACTAACAAATTGGATTAGAAAATAGGATTCATCTTTTTTTGATACCTCCAAGAAATGCATTTCACTAACAATGATAGAAACTACCTTAGGATAAAAGGATGGAAAATTGTATTCAAAATAAATGGAACTAATAATAAGCAAGTGTAGTCCTTCTAATATCTAAAAGAAACTAGACTTTAAACCAAAATAATCAGAAGGGATAAGGAGGGACATTTCATACTAATTAAAGAAAAAATCCAACAACAGCATTGTCTTAGTCAGTGTTCTACTGCTGTGAAGAGACACCATGACCATGATAACTCATAAAAGAAAGCATTTAATTAGGGCTTACAGTTTCCGAGGTTTAGTCCATTATCCTCATGGTGGGGAGCATGGTGGCACACAGGCAGATACGGCAGCTGAGAATTCTGGATCTGAAGGCAGCAAGAAGACAGAGCCACTGGGCCTGGCTTGGGCTTTTGAAACCTCAAAGCCCACCCCCTGTGACACACTTCCTCCCAGAAGGCCACACCTCCTAATCCTTTCAAATAGCTCCAGTCCCAGGTGACTAAGCATTGAAGTATATGAGCCTATGGGGCCATTCTTATTCCAACCACCACATTCCACTTCCTGACCCCCATAGACTAATGGCTATATTATAATGCAAAATGCATGTAGTCCAACTTCAAAAGTTTCCAAAGTCTATCACAGTTTCAACACTGCTTAAAAATCTAAAGTTCAAAGTCTCTTCTGAGACTCAAGGCAGTCTCTTAACTTTAACCACCAGTAAAATTAAAATAAAAAAGCAGATCACATACTTCCAACATACAATGGCAAAGAATATAGATTACTATTCAAAAATGGAGGGAAGGGAACATAGTGAGGAAATACTGGACCAAAGCAAGACTGAAAACCATCTGGGCAAACTCCAAACTGCATCTCCATGTCTGATGTCAAAGCACTCTTCAGATCTTCAGCTCCTTTCAGCTTTGTTGAGTACAACACACTTTTCTCTCTTGGGCTGGTTCCACACCCAGTCTGCAGCTTTCCTTTGCAGGTATGATACCCATGACTCTGCCATCTCCAACATCTTTTGGTCTCCAACATAATCCAGGTTTCACCTTCACAGCTTCACATGCAATGGCCTCCCTGAGCCCCTCTTTGCAGGGATAACCCTGACACATGCCTGGCCTCAGTGGCTTTCCTTAGTTGCAGAGGGAGATTCCATAACCCCTTCTTGTATCCTTGACTCTAAAGTCAGAACTATGGTGGCCAAAGCTGCCAATTGCTTCTTGCCAGGGCTGGAACATGGGCCCCTCTTTCAATTACAATGGCATCAGCTTTCTGTTGATGGTTTCCTTTACTACTTAAGCTTTTCTTTAATCCCCTTTTACAAGTTGGAAACTTAGCTGGGTGGGGTCTTTCTCTGAGGTCAGCACTCCCTTTATTCTATTTAGGATCAGGTTTCTCTTTAAACTTTTTATCTCCTTGAGCACAGGATTTAGCTCTATTATACTTCCTGGTGCTCCTTTTCTCCTCAAACTGTACATTTTCTATTTTTCCTTGCTCAGCTTGCTCCTTTTCATTATAGTCCTGCATAAGAGTAAACATTAATAACCACACGGCAGGGTCAATATTAGGCTGTCTTGAAAATCCTTTGCTAATAACATTAATCCAAAACTCAATTTAGCCTCATACAGATTTTTTTGTCAAGGGCAGAAAGCAGCCACATTCTTTGCCAAAATATCACAAGAATGGTCTCTAGGCCACTTACTAATATTTTTCTTCTCTGAAACCTCTTGATCCAGGCCATCATAATCGACACTGCTCTCAGCACTACTGTCTTCCACATTCCTACTTGTGTGGCCCATTAAGCCCTGCTTAAAGAGTTCAACTGCTTTTCTAGTCCAAAGTCCCACAGTCCACATTCCACCAGCAAGCAGCATGGTCAGGCCTGTCACAGCAATACCATGCTTTCTGGTACCAACATTTGTCTTAGTCAGTGGGAATATGGCGGATACATGCAGACATGGTATTGGAGAAGTAGATGAGAGTTCTACATGTGGATCCAAAGAGAGCAGGGAGAGAGAGACACTGGGCCTGGCTTGGGCTTTTGAAAGCCCACCCCTAGTGACACACTTCCTTCAACAAGACCACACCTCCTAATCCTTTCAAACAGTGCCAGTCCCTGGTGATTAAGAATTCAAATATATGAACCTATGGGGGGCATTCTTATTCAAACCACCACAACCATATTATAATACTAAGCAAGCATATAGTCACCAAACCCAGGAGCACCATATTTCATACAAGAAACACTATTAGATTTAAAACTACAGACTAACACAGTGATAATGGGTAATTTTAATATCTCATGTTCACCAATATATAAGTTATCTGGAAAAACCTAAATTGAGAAACTCTGGAGTCAAAGGACATCAAAAATTAAAGGGGCATCTTTCTCCAGGATCTAGCCAAGTGAGATCTGATTTTCCCTTCTATGTACCCTCCTCAATTGCCAGATCTAACTGGGGTCCAACATCCGGTGCACAGGTCTAGTCCAGCCACCTTGGCCGGCACTGCAACCAACCTCTAGGTGTACACTAGAACCAGCCCTTCCTGCCCCTGACCCACAGGCCCACCCATACTATATCCAACCTCTCCACCAATTCATATCCTGCACATCATACCACAGGGTCTAGCTGGGTAGTAGGTTTGCCTGATCCTCTCCTCCACACACCTTCCCCAACACTCAGATATGTCCCCACACTCCAGGCTTGGACCAGAATGCACATCCTGTACACAAGCCCAGTCCTTTGTGTCTACCTGACTATATCCTTCCTAAACCATATTCAACCTCTAAGCTAAACCCAACCCACCTATTCTTTCTTTTGCCCCAAAATGCTCTGTCCATACTATATACAGAACTAACAAAAGACGTCCATATGCCCAGATCTCATGACAAAATAAACCATGTGTTAGGTCAAGACTATTTCTTCCCAACACCTACCAGTTCTGTAGAAATGTTCTCTAATGGTAATTACCTAGATGAGCCGCAGGACACACATTTTAAAGGAGCAATCATAAACTTATTCAAAGAATTTAAGGTTTTTTTTCCTATAAAGGAAAACATTTAACTGTGGCTGGCTTACAGTTCAGAGGTTTAGTCTATTATCATCATGGTGGGAAGCATGGTGGCACTCAGGCAGACATGGTGCTACAGAAGGAGTTGAGAGCTCTACATCTTGACTCATAGACAACAGGAAGTGGTCTGTCTCACTAGGTGTGGCTTGAGCACATATGAGACCTCAAAGCCCACCTTCCACAGTGACACACTTCCTCCAACAAAATTACACCTACTCTAACAAGGCCATACTTCCTAATATGCCACTCCATATGGGGGCCATTTTCTTTCAAACCACATTCCACTCCCTGGTCCTCAAGGGCCTGTAGCCATATTATAATGTAAAAATGCATTCAGTCCAACTTCAAAAGTCCCCATTGTCTATAACAGTCTCAAACTTATTTAAAAGTCTAAAGTTCAAAATCTCTTCTGAGATTCATGTAGTCTCTTAATTGTAATCACCTGTAAAATCAAAATAAAAAGCAGATCACATACTTCCAACATACAATGGCACAGGATATATATTACCATTCCAAACTGTAGGGAAGGAAGCATAGTGAGGAAATACTGGACCAAAGCAAGACCAAAAACGAGCTGGGCAGACTACAAATTCTGCATCTCCATGTCTGATGTCAAAGCACTCTTCAGATCTCCAACTCCATCCATCTTTGTTGACTGCAACACACTTCTCTCTCCTGGGCTGGTTCCACTCCCTGCTAGCAGCTCTCCTTGGCAGGTATCCCACAGCTCTGGCATCTCCAACATCTTTGGGTCTCCAAGGCAATCAGGCTTCAACTTCATAGCTTTCTTTATGCAATGGCCTCTCTAGGCCTCCATTCAGGGAAAACCCTGACACATGCCTGGCCTCATCTCATGGAGGCAAGTTTCACAGGCCCTTTCTTCTATCCTTGACTCTAAAGCCAGAACCATGTGGCCACAGTTGCCAAGTTCTGCTGCTTGCTGGGGCTGGAACATGGTCCCCTTTTTCAATTACATCTTTACCAGCTTCCTGTTTTCTTTGGTTTCCTTCACTGCTTAATCTTGGCATTCCAGAAACTGGATCTGTAGGCCAGGCTGGCCTCAAACTCAGATATCTGCCTGCCTCTGCCTTCCCAGTGCTGGGATTAAAGGCGTGCGCCGCATCTGGCTCTAAACTTCTCTTTAATTCCTTTTCAGAAGTTGTAAATTAGCTGGGTGGGATCTTGCCCTGAGCTCACCACTCCCTTTATTCCATTTCTTAATCTGTTTTTCTCCTTGAACATAGGACTCAGCTCCATTCTACTTTCTGGTACTCCTTCTTCTCCTCAAATTTTACATTTTTCTCTTTGCTCAGCTAGCTCCTTTTCATTACAAATCTTTATAAGCATGAACACTAGTAACCACAGGACAGAGTCTATACTAGGCTGTTTTGAGATTTCTTTTGACAAAGGGAATTAATCCAAATCTCTTCACTTTAGCCTCAGGCAGAGTTTTTGGACAAGGGCAAAAAGGAGTTAACCTAGAACAATCTCTAGGCAACATACTAAAGTTCTTCTCCTTTGAGACCTCTTGAGTCAGACACTCACAGTTCAAATCACCCTCAGCACCACTGTCTTCCATGCTCTTACTAGGATGGCCCATTAAGCAGCACCTAAAGCATTCATCTGCTTTTCTAATCCACAATTCCAAGGTCCATATTCCTTCAAACAAAAGCATGGTCAGGCCCATCACATCAATACCCCAGTCCTTGGTACCAACTTCTGTCTTAGTTAGAGTTTCTATTGCTGTGAAGAGACACCATGATCATGGCAACTCTTATAAAGGAAAACATTTAATTGGGGTGGCTCACTTACAGTTCAGAGGTTTAGTCCGTTATCCTCATGGCAGGAAGCAAGGCAGCATGCAGGCAGACATGGTGCTGGAGAAGGAGTTGAAAGTTCTTACATCTTGACTCACAGGCAACAGGTAGCGGTCTGTCTTGAATTCAAGTTTTAAAAAGACAAAAAGAAACATCTCAATAAACTCAAAGAGAAAGAATTTAACAATAGTAATTGCCTGAGTGATGCCCAAGAAAAAACAAACATGAAGTGGAGGGAAATGAGGAAAACAATGCAGGATTTTAAAATGGAATTAAATAAAGAGCAATTTTTAAAGGACCCAAGCTGAAATGAAGATGGAATTGAAAAAAAACCCTAATAATCTAAAAGAAAATTCAAAGGAAAACCCCACAAGTTATATGAACCAAGCAAAAGCTAGACTATCAGGACTCAAAGATAAAAAATACATAGGAAATGTGGTACACCATGAAAAGACCAAATCTTCAAATTATAGGCATAGATGAGGGAGAAGCCCAGGCCGATGTCACAAATCAGTTCTCCAACAAGATCACAGAATATAATTTCCCTAGACTAAGGAGAGACACACCTTACAAACAGAAGCTCACAGAACACAAAATAGACAAGACCAGAAAAATAAATCCCCACAGCATAGGAGAGTTAAAACACTAAGTAGACAGGGCAAAGAAAGTGTATTGAAAGCTGCAAGAGAAAAATAGCAAGTCACAAATAAAGGAAAACCTATCAGAATAGCAAATGATTTCTCAGTGGAAAGTTAGAAAGCCAGAAGATCCTGGAACAATGCTAAAGAACCTCAATGACCAAACTAGATTAGTTTGTCCAGTGAAACTATGTGCCATAGCTTAAAGAGGAAGAAAACCTTTCCATGATAATAAACAGCCACCAGGAAGACACTGCTGTCCTAAACATATATGCATCAAACTGTGGTATACCCAATTTCATTAAAGAGACAGAGTAGCAACAACCTGTTAATTCTATGTGAATTCAATATCCCAGTTTCTCCAATAGACAAGTCATCTGGACAGAAAATAGAGACTCATGAGAATTAAATGGCATCATACATCAAATACATTTAACAGATTACCTACAGAACATTCCACATAAACACTAAAGGACACACCTTAAACACTAAAGCAGCACAAGGAACGTTCTCTAAAACAGACCACATCCTGGGACACAAAACAATTCTTGACAAATTCAGAAAGATTAAAATAACACTGTGTATCCTATCTGATCATAATGCAGTAAAACTTCAAACTGACAGCAGACATATCTCTAGTAAATACACAAACTCGTGGAGATTAAACAGTACATTACTGAACGATGAATGGGTCAAAGAAGAAATCAAAAGAGAAATAAAAAAATTTCTGGAACTAAAGGAAAACACGCCATGAAACCTCTGGGATACATTGAAAGTAGTTCTATGAGGGAAAAATTAGAGCTCTAAGTGTCTACAATAAAAAAAAATAAGAAAAAAAAGGCACACCTCAGAAAAGAGGTGTGGGCTGCAGCCCCTCAGGAGCCTCTGATCAGGAGGGCTGGGAGAAAAGCCAGCTTTTTGCCAGTCTGGCGACCCACTCAGGTGAGCCACCACCACTGCACCCCTCCATCTCCTCCACCGCCCCCCTCCATCCTCCATCCTCCCCCCTCCAGCGCGCCCCCAAGGCCGGCTCCGCCCCCTCTTGGAGTGGGTGGTGTGCTCCTGCGGCTCCTGTCGTGTCGCAGGCACACGCACCGTTGGCGGAGCTGCACTTAAAGTGGTCTGAGCAGGTCCGGCATTGCCCCCACCACTGCGCAGACTGACTGAAGCGACAGGCCCAGCGAGCTGCTCGCTTGAGTTTCCACCAGCTCGGGCCCATCTTTCTCTCGGCGTCTGGGCCAAACACATGTAACTCGCATCTGGCCGCCCAGGTACCCCGCAGCTGACGCCCACCGGTGTCGTCGCCTGGGGCAGGTGCTCAGCGCGGACGAACTCGCGGCGGGCAGAGGCCCAGGCGGCCAGCGGCCTACCCGACCATCGGAGCCCGCCTCTCGGGCCTCGTTCCCAGCCAGTCCGGGGTCGCCCGCCTAGGGGCCGTCATCATGGGCCACCTTCTCTCGAAGGAGCCTCGTAACCGCCCGAGCCAGAAGAGGCCTCGCTGCTGCAGCTGGTGCCGCCGCCGGCGCCCTCTCATCAGGCTGCCCGGCCGGACTTCGGCCAAGTCGTCCCCGCAGTCGCAGTCGCAGACGCAGTCGCCGTCGGCGTCCCCGCAGAACCGGGACTGCTTCTTCCGCGGGCCCTGCATGCTGTGCTTCATCGTGCACAGCCCCAGCGGGCCCGCCCCCGCCGGCCCAGAGGAGGAGCCGCCGCTGTCGCCGCAGCCGCTGCGGGACAGGGCCTACGCCACCCCCCTGCAGCACCTGGAGCCGCGCTACTCGGCCTTGGCGTCCGACGACGCCGCCGCGGCCGCCCGCCGCTTCCTGCTGTCCTCGGCCGCTGCCGCCGCCGCCGCCACCTCCTCGGCCTCGTCGCCCGGGACCCGCTGCAAAGAGCTGGGCCTGGCAGCCGCCGCCGCCTGGGAGCAGCAGGGCCGGAGCCTCTTCATGGCCAGCATGGGCCCGTTGCGCTTTCTGGGGCCCCCGGCCGCCTCTCAGCTTTTTCAGGCGCTGCCGCCGCCGCAGGCCGAGTACCCCGTGCCCCCCGAGATCGTGTGCAAGCGGAAGGGGGTTGGGAATGCCGACTGCAGCTTTTGCAGGCAGCCTCGCTGCGGCGGTGCGGGCGCTGGCTGCGGCGGGGGAGGATCTGTTGGGGGAGGTGCCTCTCTGATGCAGCCGCTGGATGCAGGATGCTGCCAGGCCCAGGAGCAGCTCCTGCCACCGCTCGGCTCCAGGCCCGCCTCTCCTGCCTCCGAGTGTGACCTCTTTGAGGACGCCGGAGACGTTTTCCGAGCTGGAGGCATCGCCCACTGGTCGGTCCAGCAGCCCGAAGGCCGTGACGCAGATTATCAGAAGACCTCCGAAAACGCCTGCAGCTATTTTAGGGAGCCGGTCCCCGAAACCCTCGATGTTAACCAACTGCCAGGGTCCATCGTGCTTGAGGTGGATCTGGATGATTAGGCCTAGGGATGATAGTTTCCCCGCAACCCCGGCCTCCGCGCCCTCCTGAGGCCTTCTTCCCCTCCCCCCACCGCCCCCCCCCCTGCATGGAGGAGTGGGGTTCCTTGGCAGCCGGGGATGCCGAAGGGGATACTGGGAAGCCACTAGGCCCTGTGCTTAAGGCCTGTTTTGACGCAGAAAAGCTTGGAGTCTGCTGAATGCCTTGTAGTAGATTAGGTCTGTTCCCACAATTCAGGATTCATTTATTGCATTAGCAAATCCCGATATAGAAGCTATTAGATTTCTGTGGAATAAATATATGCACACTTGAGCAATTTATATTTGGTGGGTAACAACTTTACATATTGCTGTTTGAACGTTTTCAAACTGTTTTCAGGTTTGATAGCTGCTAGTTAGTGCCAATAGCTTACAATTAAGCATGTACCGTGATCAATCACTGTATCAGAGCTTTATATATATAAACCTCATGGATTCCTCCATTTGATGCTGTGAGACAAGTGCTGTTAACATTTACTGTATTCAAAAAGAAACTGACATTCCAGTGTTTTGAGACAGATGGCTTACTCCAGTGAGCCAGGAGGACAAGGACTTCTTGTTTTGTCTTGTGAAACTAACGTTTTGTCTTGTTTTCTCTTGTGAAACCAACAGCCTAGATGGACTTGAAAATGGTTGAATGACTGGTTCAAGGCCACACCCATAAACTAAAGGGCAAATCTGGGTCTTGAAGCGGGGAATTTTGGCCAGCTTGACTTGAAGAAAACCCTGTTGTTTATGCTGTTGTATCCCTTCTTACATCCTTGCCTTTATATGCAATGAACTGTACCAGAAGTCAGAAGTCTTTCATGTTGGGGTTGGGTCAGTGAAGAAGTGAAGTGCCTGCTGGGAATTTTGTGTCACTGTCAATTGCTAAGTAACATTTCCTGCTTTGTCAGAGCTAGGGACAAATTTTGTGATAGTGTATATTAAGTTATTGACTCCCTCCCTTGGTTTCTGTCTTTGTTCCCACACCTTTTCCTGGAGATAAATAAGAACTTGATTTTTCAGTGTGAACCATATTTAAATAAGACTAGTCAGAAATGACCTTCAGGAGAATGTGGCTGCTTTCATTGTTACTGAATTAACTGCCAATGAATTGTAAATGTTACTGTCACATCAGTGTACCTTATTTGAGTAGACTTTTAACATATGTGTAACTATGTACTTGGATCTGTTTTACTGTGACATTGATGCTCTTGTGAACAATACAGCAAAAAACCAGACACGTGTCCCATTTTCTTGTGTCAAAACACAATGATTTAATTATTAGGGAGGTATATTTGATGGAGCAGTAATTACTTTGTGTGTTCAGGGGATGAATTTTAGGGCAGAGGGAACTTCTCAAGTCCTTTAAATCACTGGATAATACAGGTAAATAAAATAGCAACAAAAATATCAGAGAAAGCACAAATGATACAACTCAAACATTTGGAAAAATAAAAATAAACCAAGTCCAAAATAGCAATAAGTAATAAAAATCAGAGCTAAAATCAATAAAATAAACAACAGTATAAAGAATCAACACATCTGAGAGCTGGTGCTCTGAGATGATTAAAAAAGATTGGCAGGCTGCTGACCCAACTAAACAAAAGAAAGACAGGACCCCAATTCACAGAATCTAAAATAGCAGAGAAAAAATTACAACAAACACTAAAGAAATTCAGGATATTATAAAGGAATATTTAAAAACCAGTAATCCATTAGGTTAAAAATCCTAAAAGAAATAGATGAATTCTAGATTTACCTAAGCTACCAAAATTAAAACAAGAAGACATCAACCTAAACAAACCCATAACAAATGAGATCAAAACAGTAATGAAAAGCCCTCCAACTAAAAAAAGCCTAGGCCCAGGTGGAGTCACACCAGAATTCTATCAGGTCTTCAAAGAAGATCTATAAACAATCCTTAAAATTTTAAATATATATATTTATTAATACTAAACATAAGCAATACACTATTAATATATTTAAAAACCATTTTAAATAAGTATACATATTTAATTATGAGCACAGGTGTGTGAGCATGTGCACACACATCTCCCCACCCCCCCCCCCCCACCCCCCACCCCCACACACTTACACAAAATACTTCCAAACTCCTTTTACAAAGCCAGCTGTCACTCTAAAACCAAACAGGTAAAGACAAAACCCAAAATGAAAGCTACAGGCCAATATCCCTGATGACTATAAATTTAAAATGTGTAACACGAATCTTAAAAGGTCTTATTGATAGAAAACCCAGAGCCAGATATTGGGATGAAAGCTGAAAGATTAGATAAGCAGAGCAAGCCGCAGCCAACCTCATCTTACCAACTCCTCAGCCTCCAGAGCGCAAGAGACTTCCTGTTTATTCACGCCTTACCTGCCTTTCTGTGCCCTGCCATCTTCCGTCCTTCCTAGTGCTGGGATTAAAGGTGTGTGTGCTCCTCAAATACTTGGTAGCAAAAGCATGAGATCTCAAGTGCTGGGATTAAAGGCGTGTGCCACCATGTCTGGCTCTGTTTCCAGTGTGGCGTCGAACTCACAGAGATCCAGAAGGATCTCTGCTCCTGAGTGATAGGATTAAGGGTGTGTGTCACCACTGCCTGATCTCTGTGTCTAATCTAGTGGCTGCCTCTGTCCTCCGATCCCCAGGCACATTTATTAGGGTACACAATATATTGGGGTAAACAATATATGACCACAAAAATGCTTAATAAAATATATGTAAGTGGAATGCATACACACATAAAAATGATTATTCACCATGACCAGGCTGGATTTATCCCTGAAATGCAAGTCAATAAATGTAATAAACCACATGAGTGGGTGTTGGTTAAACAGCTCGCTGCTCGTGGCTGAGGAGAGTGCTGGGCGGAAGAATCACAAGCCATAGTTACCTTTTTAGAGCTTTGTTGGGGGTGGAGAGGAAGAGAGAGGGGAGTGAGAGGGGGGGTACAGACAGAAGGAGAGAGTGGAAAGAGAAGGGAGGCACATAGAGGGCCCACCCGCTTTTTAGGCTGGGACGCCATCGCAGGCTGATGACGTAATTAAGGACAGAATCCTTACAGTGGGGATAAAGACAGAATCACATGATCATCTCAATAGATGGCAGAAAAGCCTTTGACAAAATCCAACATGCCTCCGTGATAAAAGTCCTGGATGAAGTAGAACTAGAGGGAACATATATAACTCAACATAATAAAAACTAAATATGATAAACCCACAGTTGAGATCAGCCCAAATAGAGGGAAATCTTGAAGCAATCCCACTGATATCATGTATGAGACAGGGCTGTCCACTATCTCCACTCCTTTTCAATACTGTGGTCAAAGCACTAGCTGGAGTAATGAGGCAAGAGAAGGAAATAAAAGGGATACAAATAGGAAGAGAAGTCAGATTGCCCCTATTTGCAGATGACATGGTATTATATATAAGATTCAAAATTTCTATCAGAAAACTTCTAGAAACAAACAAATTCATCAATGTGGCAGGATACAAAATCAACTTGCACAAATCAATAGCTTTTCTATAAACCAACAAAACATGCCTAGAAAGAGATTGTAGACACATTCACATTCATAATAGCCTCAAAGAAAATAAAATTTCTAGGAATAAGTCTAACTAAGGAGATTAAAATACCTTTACAATGAAAACTTTAAACCTATGAAGAGAGAGAGAGAGAGAGAGAGAGAGAGAGAGAAAGAGACCCTAGAAAATGGAAACACACCCCATGCACATGGATTGGTAGAATTAATATTGTGAAAATGTGTAACATGAACCTCAAAAGCTCTTATTAATAAAAAAACACGCCGGGCGGTGGTGGCGCACGCCTTTAATCCCAGCACTCGGGAGGCAGAGCCAGGCGGATCTCTGTGAGTTCGAGGCCAGCCTGGGCTACCAAGTGAGTCCCAGGAAAGGTGCAAAGCTACACAGAGAAACCCTGTCTTGAAAAACCAAAAAAAAAAACAAAAAAAAAACACAGAGTCAGATATTGGGGTGAAAACTGAGAGATCAGAGGAATAGAACAAGGCCACAGCCAACCTCACCTTACCAACTCCTCAGCCTCCAGAGAGAGCTACTTCCTGTATACTCATGCCCATATACCTTTCTATGTTCTGCCATCTTACTTCCTCTCTCTTTGCCTAGCTATCTCACTTCCTCTTTCTGCCCAGTTCTATCACTTCCTGTCTGTCTGTATAGACCTCCAAACCTTTATGGTTAACTTGTACTGGGATTAAAGGTGTGTGTGACCATGCCTGGCTCTGTTCCCAGTGTGGCCTTGAACTCAAGAGATCCGGATGTATCTCTGCCTCCTGGAATGCTAGGGTTAAAGGTGTGTGCTACCACTGCCTGACTTCTATGTTTAATATAGTGTCTGACTTTTTCCTCTGATCCCCAGGCAAGCTTTATTAAAGCACAAATAAGATATCACCACAAAAATGACAATTTTACCAAAAGCCATTTATAGATTCAATGCAATCTCAATCCAAATCTTCATATCACTCTTCACAGAAATAGAAAAAAAAATTATCCTAAAATTCTTATGGAAGTACAAAAGATCTATATAGCCAAAACAACCCTGAGCAAAAAGAACAATGCTGCAGGAATTACCATTCTAATTCTCAAGATGTACTACAGAGCCATAGTAATAAAAACAATATGGTATTGGTGGAAAGACAGATGTGAAGAAATCTATTGGTTACCCCCATAACATCTGTGGTAGTTTGAATGTAATTGGCCTCCATCATTGTAGGGAGCCGCCATTCTAAGATGGCGCTGGCTTCCTGGTAGCCTAGCTGTAAACAACTCCATATTTGGCTATGATGCGCGAGTATGGTAATTGGCCTTATGTCCTCAGCCTATCCCGTGGCTCCCCGTGCTAGCATTCTGGCGGGACCCAATCACAGTACGGCACGTTTGCCTGATTCCCTTTATAAGCAGCGGCAGTTTAGTCCTCGGGGCCCCTCACCTCCCGCTCTCCCTTAACCAAGAGGTACTCCAATAAAGTGTGTTCTGAGACGGATCCTCGCATGGTGGTCGTTCTTCCTTGCTGGCCGAGGAGCGCGCCGCACATCATCTCATAGGGAGTGGCACTATTAGGAGGTGTGGCCTTGTTGGAGTAGGTGTGTCCTTCTTGGAGGAAGTGTGTCACTGTGGGGGTGGGCTTTGAGGTTTCCTATGCTCAGGATACCAGCCAGTGTCTCAGTTGACTTCCTGTTGCCTGTAAGATGTAGGACTCTCAGCTACTCCTCCAGTAGCACAACTGCTGGCAGGCTGCCCTGTTCCCAACCATGATGGTAATGACTGAACCTCTGAAACTGTAAGTGAGCCAGCACAATAAATGTTGTTCTTTATAAGAGTTGCCATGAGTATAGTGTCTTTTCACAATAATAGAAAGCCTAACTAAGACAATATCTATGCCCCTATGCACCTTTGGGCATATCTTGCCATGATGGTCATTATCCTACCTCACAGGGTTTACAGCTGACAAAGACTGTTGATGACTTTCCCCCCTCCAGAACCATACATAACAATTCTGTATTATAAAAGCTAGCCACTAGTACAGGGAGCCTTGCTCCAAATGGGCCCGGCAACCTGGGACAGATATATGAAGTCGACACAGTGAGGAAACTATGACCACCTGTTTCAAACAAGTAGCCCTGGATAGCTTGGGCCATTTTTATTTTTAGGATTTCAATGGTTTACATGAACAGTTTTACAATCAAATTTGTTTCCTCATGTGCTATGAGATGGTCTTCCTGTACACTGTGAATATGTGTTGCTACCATTGGTTAATAAATAAGATGCTTTGGGCCAATGGCAAGGCAGCTTAGAGGCAGGTGGAAAATCCAAGCAGAGACACAAAGAGGAAGAAGAGCGGAGTCGGGGGAGATGCTGAGAGTCGCCTGAGGAAGCAAGATATAATGCAACACAGCTAATGCCATGGCCACATGTCAAAACATAGACCAAAACAGTTTGCAATTAATAGTAAGCCTCTGAGTGACTATTTTATAAGCTGCTGCGGGCTGGAAGGGACTCAGGAAAACTTCTGGCTACACTCATGTTTCTAATAACGGTGACAATCATAGCCACTTTGTTCCTTTACCTCGTTCTCCTCCTGTCCCCCAACTTTCCCACCAGTAACCATCACCTACTTGGTTCATAGCTCTACTGTTAGAAGCATCAGCAGAGTTGCGAGCAACAAGGGAAGTTTTCTAACTAGGCACACCTACAGGTTAAA